TATGAGTCTTTAGGGGCCGAAACCAAAGAATCGGAGGTTTCTTGAGATCCTTTGAGGGTGTGTGATTTTCGAGACTCACGAGACCAATAGAGCCTTTCTGGAGAAGACACAGAAGTGTTCAATCCATATAGCTCTATAGATCTAAGTGTTGAGCAAATCAAAAGCAGTGGATGCTTTGGTCGGTGCTTTGGCTTTCGAATCAACATGTGGGGAGAGTCAGAAGTTAGTGCCTGCCCGTAGGCACGGCTTGGAAGAAAGGGCCAAAGTTTGTAAGGCAATTGTTGGTTTTGTTGAGAAGAAGAACCCCATGCAGCTCCTGTTCCGTGGTGCAACCCAACCACTTGGAGTAAGTACTCAAAGCAAAACCATTAACTACAGCGAAACCAAAGGCAAGCCTAAGGCGAGCATGTGCAATAAAAAAACAAAATTTGAATCCTGTCCGTAACGGAAAGACAACGGTAACAGAATCACCCGAGGATCGACATTCACATTGCAGATCAGGCGCGCGGCAGTTCAGCCGACTCGACGACTCGGTGGCCGGTGGCCGGGTTCGTCGACGGTGTCCCTGCAGTGTTCGTGGCATGGAACCATCAAAAGCCATTGACCAGGCACCGAAAGCAAACAGTTGTTTGTTTTTTGTTTAGTGGATCATAAAAAACCCGTGTCCCATTAAAAAAACCTTCCAAAAGGAAACACGTGGAGAAGAAATATATGTTCCATGTATTGGCTTGGCCTGTGCCATGGAACTTCAGCAAGCTGAGCAACGCAGGGTGTTCGGAATGTCCAGAGCTTGGATTTCAAACCCTACTCGTACCTCCCGCAGATGATTCCTTGGAGAATTGGCCCGTGGTTTCAACCGTTTTCCTTTATATACAACCCAGTGTTTTTAAGGGTTTCATGCTAATCTGCAGGGCAGTAGGCTTCCCAGTTACTTGTGTCACAGGTAACTGAGGAGCTGGCGATGATGTGTCGCATCTTAAAAACAAATCTTGCAATGCTAATTATATAGGCTCGAGAAGCTCGAGCTCCACAAGCTCCATCCAGGTTGTGAAAGGGTTGTGAGGGGTGGTGTTTTTGGGGTTCATTATAGTAGGTTGACATTCTATATATATACCAGGTTCCTTATGGGTTCTATACCAGCAAGTGACCTCGGAGCGCTGTAACTGGGATATGGTGAATGGAAGGAAGAGTGTCAATATTGACGATATGCTGCATGCCAGTGTTCAAATTAGTCTTTGTAAATATGCCAAGATGATCCAATATGCCAGTCCCAATTGGTCCCAAAGTTCGCCGTCTTTGTATTTATGCTTTTCGCTTCACGCACGTGAACCAATCGCTACAGGTGGTACCTGAGAACTCCACCGCTCTGGTGGTCTGTGCTCAGGCGAGGCGATAGAACAACGGCTTTAAGATGTTATTCCCAGTGAAGAACTAGTGGAGAATGTGGTCTCTGGTGATGTTAGCTTCAGCTAGCTGGAGGTACTCGTGCTTTAGCAAGTTACTGGCTGGGGGATGGAATCGGCTACCCAGTGAATATTCCACTGCTAGACTGCTAGACCCCCGCTGCACCGGTTCAACTCCCCTCTTGGACGCCTTAGATTTGGGAGCATAGTACCCAGACACTTAATGTATGCCATATATGCCTATACATTGACATATGGCATACATGGCGTGTCTGGGGTAGTTCTGATAGCATCCGTTTTGAGACTAGCTTTCGTCACCAACCCCTGGCCTCAAGTGATCCTGTTCGTTTGAAAACCTGACAAGTTTTTGAAGGGTGGCAGTGTTTGTGTTATTACTTATAAGTGTCTCTGATACTTGCCTACCAAACTTGAAATGGCCATTATCATAAATCAAATATATACTATAAAATACTTCTTGCCAATTATACGCGCATGGTGCACATCTGTTGACACTGAACAAAAGCCGCGCCTTCCATGCCGTGCCCATCGTTTGACCGCCTTCTCTCGTCGAAGACCACCTGCGCCAACCCGCGACCCGACCCCAGGTCTTCGAACACCTGCGTCAGCCCTTCAAGGCGATGCGGCAGATCTTCCGTTTGATGGCGCCCCTCGGGCTCCTCGGACGGCTTGTGCGCGGTCGCGCGCGGTCGAAACCGAGGTCGAAACCGCGGTCCGGGAGCGGAGAGGCTTTGGAAGGGACACAAATATTTGGTGAATCAGTGCTGGTTGGTCACCCAGAAGCTGTACATTCGGTGGAATGCACAAGTTTGCGCCTTGTGGGGACCCAGCACCGAATGTCGCAGTCGGGAGGTCCAGGTGCTGCCTGTCAGATGGTTTGGGAATGCTGTGAGTTTTTTTCGGGGATCAACTGGGACGGTCATTGGGAACGGTTGTGTGGAGTTGGGTCAGTAATTATGTTGGTTTGTCAGTTGGAGTGGTTGCTTGGGGCTTGGAGTGTTGGACCTTGGCTGTGGGCTTTGGTTGGTGGGAAGGGTTAGGATTCGTCATCGAAGCCAATTGTAGAAGTGGAGAGCACTATAGACGATAAGATCTGAGACGGCCAAGCTTCCGCAGGTGAAGCAACACATCGATTCGCCAATGGATCCCTCGAGGTCGTCTTTTCCCATCCCATTCTCTCCATCAACCCATTTTCCAGCCAAAAAGAAAAGCAACCATCAACCATCCAATGAGTCCCTCAGATTCTCCGCTTTCGGACGCGGGGCGCCGGCGGAGGGTCCTGGCCTTCTCGGCGCCGCTCTTCAGTGAGATCCACGGAGCGCCCCAGGACCGCCGGGTCCCGGACCGGTCCCGGACGGACCGGTTTTGGCTTTGTGTTGGTTTGTGTGTTCTCGCTTGGGGGTGCGTTTGTGTGTTTGTTTGTTTTACTGTAAATGTCTATGTGTCTTTTCCCGGGTACAGTGAGAGGAAGCACCCGTGTAGATGGCAGAAAGGATATGCAAGATGATGGTGATGATGATCTCATGGTGTGTGTGCCCAAAAACTTATGGATCTTTCTTTTGGGGAGTGCACTTGATCTGTGACGCAACGCGGAGCCCCTCCACTCCGAGGACTTCTGGCGCTTTACGCCCAGCGGCGCAAAGACGCTCGCGGAAGACGCCGGCTTCGAGGCGAGCGTTCCGAACGTTGAAGACGAGTTTTTAGGGATCCAAGTACCTTCTCAGAAGGTGTTTGGGGTGGCTGTAGAGGGTCCAAGTGCCTTCTGAGAATGTACGACTGGATCCCTAGGGAGTGTTGAGATGTGTGATGTGGTGTGTAGTGTGGTGTTGGTCTATACTTCTTGGAGGGTGTTCAACTCAAAACACTCAAAAGGCAAGGGGTCCATGTATGACAGTGTGTGACAGTCGTACTTAGATTGTTCATCTCTCAGTCCTCAATATCCAGGGAGATCTGAGATCTATAGTAGAATAGTTGGACCAGAGCTGGACCAGAGCGGCCACAACAATCTTTAAACTGTCAGTCATGGTGTTTCCTTCCAATCTCAGCATGGTCTAAATGCCTGCCACCGTCACGCTGTTTCCATCCTGCTGGGTCCCCCCCCCCCAGCGGAGGTCCCCGAACTCCCGGTCTCCCCTGGTCTCCACCGATCACCGATGCGGGGAGGTCTTGGAGATCTATGCGCCGGGAAGCTTGCGCGAGCTGTCTGGATACCTCCTGGGAATGACCCGGCCCTACTGGCAGGAGGAGATCGATCGGTCTTGGAGGGATGGTTTCGATGTTTTTGGGCAGTTTGGGGATGGGCTTCGGTTTGGGGAATTGGGTGCTATAACCCAGACACTCCATGTATACCATACATTGGGGTGGTTGAAAAGGGGTCAATGTAGGCATATCTACCAGTCCCATGAAGTGTTTGGGTAAGGGAACAGCCGTCTTAATACAAAAGCAGGGTGCAATCCGTCCGAGGTGAAGGACGGGCAATCCGGGATTGTGATGGATTGTTTGACCCGCCAAATGCTTAGTGGATCTTTGTGGAGGGTTTTGACATGTCTTGATGTTGGAAAGGTGCACCCTATGATTATGATCATAGCATGGAAGTGTGGACTTCAAGTAAATGAGACTTCTAATCGAACCAGCCATCTTTGGAATGCTAAGCCTCACACAGACATCTGCTTCAACTGGCTTCAACCTTCCTCGGTTTCCCCTCTTCCACCATCAGTGCAGTCGTGCAATGGTCTGCAACACTCATGTCAGGAGGATTTATTGCGGGACTCCCATGGTGGCTGGCCTCTGCAGGTCTACATGCTTGCGAGGAAGCCTCCACGGTAGGCTCGCGCGAGCCATCCGCTCGCCTCCGAAAGGACGTCCAGATCGTATCGTCCCAGCGAAAAGGAGAGCGTCCTGTTTGCCGACTGGAAGGGATATCTTTGGTTTTGAGAATCCTCTCATGTGTTACTCATCACTTTTGCCGCGTGTCTACATGAATTCCTCTTCACGCGGTGATGAAAGGCCATTTTGAGATCCAAATGATTTCTCGAGGCCAAAATCCTCCTCAGAGGGATTTGATCATTTCCCTTCAATCACCTGAATCACTGCAGCAACCCACCAAAGCGGTTGCCTCGTTTTTCTTTTTTCTATGAAGTAGGAATCATGTGGGCCCCCATGTGCGAAGTCATTGTTTCTGACTCAACATGGTGGCTTAGATAGGCGAGGATAGTGGAAGCTGGAGTCCGGGGTGGGCTTGAGTCTGATTGAATTAATCATTGGCCATGTTTCTTTCTTTGGAGGTTGGAAATGATCCATTTTCTATCCAAGACTATCGTGAGAATGTATGGAACCACCCTGAACGATAGCACAGGTGCTTTCATCTCTAAATTGTGCTTTCTGGGCCACTTAGAAACACGCGAAAGAACAAAAGTCAAACCAGCGCTCCCACCGATTGAACATGATTGAACTGTTCCGTTCCACCTATAGGTCTTTCAACACCCTCCCTTCTTTTTCTCCACTTCAGGTCTTTGTGTGGCGAGTTCTTCCACATGTTTCACCGGTGAGTTGACCTTCACCGAAGACCTTCACGCCCAGGCCCTGCCACGCTGCCTTGAGACTTCTCCGACGAGAGCCCTTAGGCGAGAGAGCACCTTGAGCTGTGGAAATCCAGCGGAGCTCAGCTGGTTTTCGGATGTGGGAGGCTTTCTGAGTAAACATGTAGAAACCTATAGGATCCATTGTTGAACACGTTTGCTGCAAATCCCGATGCTTTTGCAGTGAGCCTTGGAGAGCAAATGACTAGTTGTTCAGATTCCATCACTGATGCTCACTGTGAGTGAAGCCAGTAGACCAGAGTAGGCCAGACAGTTCACCTTTTGGGTGGGGAGGATTCAGCGGCTGCAGCACTGCAGCTTCCCTTGTTTGCGAACACCAAGTCAGACATGGCCCCCATCGTAGGACTCACACAGACTGAGCTCATACTCTTTTTCCAAGCTCTTTGCATATGGAGTTTCTGGGTCAAGGCGTTTACCTCTTGAAGCAAATATGAAGCCCTTGCAGCTGGGTATCCAGTTGCTGGAATGGTTCCTTATACAGTTCTCACACAAATGTGATTCAATTTGCTGCTTGACCGTTTTAGGATATTTTGGGCCTTGAGCTGTCGCAGAAGTTGCCTGCAGCGCTCATTTGCATGTGAAGCCGCGTCGTTTTACCACAGGGCTGACGGTGCTGGATGCCACGAAGGGCTATGAGGCACAGCGAAAGATGGCGCACGAAACGGGGCAGTGCCGGACAGAGCATGAGAGGTCAGACCTTTGTATCCATGAGAGGGCATTGCAGGTGGTTTTGTGATCGTTTCCTTCGGTCGATCCGGTGTATCCATGAGAGTGGGACATAGTGGGACATGATCCGATGCATATTTTTTTAAATGGAACTTCTATTGAACTGGAGAGCCCTACCTGGCGCTGACACATCCCCTTTGGTTTTTCCTTTGGCGCGATGTTTGCAAACCCGGTGGCCCGTGGCCATTGGTCCATTCACCCTTGACGGTGGATCATCGATCAGGAGCCAACCTACTACGTGGATGGCACGACGTGGAAGACCATTTTTCCTTTAACAAATGTCCAAATGTCTGATTTGTTCTACAAACAGGCAAACACCTCCTGGAAGGAGGGACCTGAGGACCTGATTCTGTTTACTAAAACGCCTATGACTCGGAGAGCAAGTGATCGATGGAGACAAGGCCGGAGACTGGGACCCAAGGCGGACCGGAACCCGCCGTGTTCTCACCACTCGCGTGGGAGCCGTGCAGAGTTCCCGGTTCAAGTGGTCAGGACGCGAATTGCCGAAACTGGAACCAATTCAATCCATCACCCCAATCCGTTTCACCCCAATCCATCAACCCTTAGGTAGTTCGATTTCAATTCCTACAAGAAATCTACATACCAGTTTGCTATGTTTCCATTGTCTTGTACGCCGTGTGCAGTGCATATTCATTCTAAACATGTCAGTCACCCTAAGGTGACCGGCGACTGCGAAGCAAAGACCCTAAAAGAGGCCTGTTTGGCTTCGGCGGTTGCGCCTGTTCCGCTGGAGGTGGCTCCCGTTCACTGGCACGAAGCGCGACTGGCCCAGTCCTTGGCCTTCTTGGCCGCACAGGACCGGGTAGTGCCATGAAGCTTTCGGACGAGACTCGGTGCTATGGCCTTTTGCTTATTCTCGAGGGATACTGTTCTTTGCCATGCTTGGATGCTTCTTCTTGTGTTTTATTCTTATTCATAATATGTATTAATATTGGTATGTTGATTCTTATAATTATATAGTTCCCCATATTTTTACACTTGTTCATTCTTCTTTCTTGTGCAAATAGTCCATGTTGCGTTTGAAGTTTGTTGCATTCTGTTGCTCAACCATTTGCTCATAGTTCATAGCTCCAAGCAGCTGCGGGAGTGCACCAATTGATCAATTTCCCGAGGCGTGTGGATGTGGTAGGAATGTTCACATTTGGGCGAACACAGACAGACACACTGCACCTTACACTTTCAAGTCTTCTTCCTATTTGTCATCTAGAAGTGCTTCAACGATGGTTCAACTAGTAGTTGAATGTGTTGAACATTGAAGGGATTCAGGACCAAGATGACATTCATCTAACTTCTAACTGGTACTTTACAGTTGTATACCATGCGAGCGAATGCCATGTCCGTCCGTCGACGGGGGAAACGCCGCGGTCGCCGTCGCAGACGCACTTCTCGCAGAGCGCCTTGGACTCCTTGTGGCACCTCTTCCGAACGAGGCCGATCTTGGACTCCTTGTGGGGAGGGAGAAAACTGATAGCGAGGTGAAGCAGAAGCTCCAGACTTGTTCATCGCAAGCGGTGTTTGCATTAGACAGATTGAAACTATTGGTTGTTTCAAAAAGGTGGTTTTGCCTATGGTGGCAAGACAAGAACACCCCTGTCGAGGTGTTGATCAAGGCATTCTCAAATCCTTGAAAGATAAACACCAAATAAAAACCCGAACTCATTTGTACAGTGGATCTCGAGTAGCATAGCGGCCACAGACATGTTATCGGCGAACTCAAAGAGGAAAAGAGCTGGATCTCCGGTTTCTATCCACATCCTTTCGGGTCGCACGTACGGCTCTCCCGCTTTCATCGTACGACGGCGAGCGTTCTTTGTCGTTCCGGTCTCGTCCGACCGATGGCAGGTCGCCCGTCTTGGTGCTCGAAACCTCACCACAGGCCCGAAACGTCCCAAACGTGCGAAACGCGTGCGCCGAAACGCCTGCGCCGAACAGCGAGAGCGAGAGCGATGGACCTGAGACGCTGGCACCGGATGTTTGGGAGGTGAAGATCCATCATTTGGGGGTCAACACTGTACCTGTGGATTATAGCTGGGGTTTGGGGTAGGTGTTCATGGATATATCTTGCAGATGACCAGGACGCTTGAAGGTGTCTGGTAATGGCCCCTTAGAGGTTGAGGGGTGTTCATTAGGTGTCCATTCACCACATTGGGGTGCTTGTATTAGAATCTTGCAGTAGCTTTGGTCACAGACCGCCTGAGAGATGATGGGATTGCCCATTGCCACTGTCGATGTTTCGTTAGATTTCTACAGTCAACGTTGGGCGCAGAGGCAGAGCATATGTCTATCGATAGACAGCTCATCCGTTTTGACTTTGCATATCTTTGCATCCTTTAGCTCCAGGCGTTTCGGTGTCCCCAAACTACTTCCTCCCCTAGCCTTCAAAGACTTTGTGGTACAAAAGCCTTCAACATTACCTACAATGATTCTTCTGTCAAAGCAATCCCAACCCAACCAGGTACCTGTGAGAGAGGTAACTGGGGTGGTTACCAGTATATTAGGTAACCAGAGTTCATTCCCGGAACCAGTGATGGTTGGGATTGAATCTATTGAGATGAAGCACCGAAGCCATTTGAACAGCCTTCATGTGGCGAGCCCGTGCCAAATGTTTGCGTTCACAAGGTGCCACCCTCCCTGCTGTACCGCTAGTGCCGCGGTTCGCATCAGCTGCTCCATGTCTTTTTTTCCGATCTGCAGCCACTAGTGTCAGTGCCACGATTTGTGATCAAGTCCTGCGAGTGCCATGACCCAAGAGGAGGTTCACCCGGACATCTTAGAGTTCCTTGGGTGGGCCATATATGATCATGAGCACGCATAGATTGCAGAAATTCTATAAGTTTGGGATTTATAGTTTGGGGTATATACCTTCATGAGCTGCTCTGAGGCTTGATTTCATCAAGTGCTTGTTCGATGATTGGGCACAGAGCTTTGGACTGGTGGAGCTTCGGGCATGCCCCAAACACTCGATAGTTGGTGATGCACCAGTGGACCCGACTGAAGAGTCTGTTGGAAAGTTTTTTGACCAGATTGCCATGGTTCTGGCCCAATTTGGAACGACAGTTCCTAATGGATCGAAGTTCAAGGCACCCTGACAATCGATATCGATTTTTGAAGATAATTGAAGTGTCTTGCCGGCCATGGGCCCATAGATCAATACCAGTCTGCTACCTACAGGCAGCCTTCAAGTACATCAACGAGAAGCATGCGCTGTTTCCACAATCTGCTTTGCAAAAGGACTTGGATTCATGGGCGGATTATGAGTCTGGAATTTTCAGGCAGCACATCGTGTACACAATTCGCTTGTGGAGGAAGACACGTTTTCGATCCAAGTGCCTTGATCCCACCTGATATAGAACTGAGTGTCATCTAGCTATAGGCGTTATAATGGTGGATTCCACACAGCCAATCCACACACCCCTCCGCTCCAGCTTTTGCTTTTAGGTCAGAGAAAGTTCAGCACTTGAAAGACATCTTGAACACCATGTATCCCTGGGAACCACCTCAACCCGTTCCCGTTGACGATCCTTCAGCTGATGGTAATGCTGCTTCGGCTCCTGCAAGCGGGGCTGCCACTGGTGGTGGCAGTGAAGGCACACCAGCACCATCCACACCCGGTGCCCTTGTTCATGAGGGTGGTGTGAATGAAGGCCCAACTGTGGTCACATCCACGATCGACGCCCTTGTTCATGAGGGTGGTGAGGGTGAAGAAGCAACAGGTCCAGCTGGATCCCCTATGGACAACATGCAGACATTGGTGGTTGATACCAACGACTCTTGGCCTCCTTGCCCATGGATCCCCAAAACTGATCTACGTAGATGGCAACAGCCAAGAATTGGTGAAGCCGCGGAAGGTCCAGCTGATCATGCTGTGGCTCCACCATCCACAACTGGAACCCCCGTTGATGCTGTGGTGGTTGGTAGAGACAGTTGGCCTCCTCGCCCATGGATCCCCAAAACTGATCTACGTAGATGGCAATGGCCCAAAAGTTCTGCTACCTCTCAGGATTGTGTGCTGTGGATTTTTTTTTGAAGTGTATGTGCGCTTACTGTTTGAAAGGGGACCATACAAAAAAATACACCGCCGGCCCATCAGGACAATGCTGAAGCTTCTGGTGCAAATGACACTGCGCTTGAACATCCTGAACCTACCCAGGTGCCAATTCCAAAACCTTTTTCATTGAGCCAGAAGAAAAATCACAACCCACCAGCCATCCCTTTGTGTCCAGGTTGTTGAACACGATGGTGATCACGCGGATGCTCCTGATGAGGAACGCTGGGGGTTGAATGAACATGTCACAACAGGGAACTCTTTCCTCCACATGCAAGGTATGTGAAGCCCGGGCTTCAAGCTCTTCTATGATTGGTTTTTTTGTCCACTATGGTCCCAGTCCCTCCAGGCTACTGCAGGTGGCGATGGAAGTGATGAGACTTTGCCATCAGAGGTGGTTGATGTGTATAGCTAACATAGTAGGTGTGAACATGGTTGAACTCAAAGAAACCCTGCGCTATACTTTTACACAGCTGCTCGCCAGGCTCTTGAAAGTGGTGATGTCACCAGAAATGAAGAGACTTTGCCGTTGGAGGTGTAGGGCAAAGTTGATGTCTGTATATATATATATAGATATATGGTTGAATTCAAAGAAATCAATCTTGAGTAACTGTCACATAACCACTCTCTCCAGGCCCCTATAAGTGGTAATGGCCCAGAAGTTGAAGATCGTGCGCCATTGGAGGTGTGGGGCAAAATGGATGTGATTGAACTCAACCAAATCAATCATCAATCTTGAGTTAAG